ATAATAAGGGTGACGGGCGCAAATGGGGCCATGGCATCAAACCACTTCAGGGTTTTCGTAGACTCATAGGGTACTCCAACATATGCAAGGTGCATCAAGATCTGAAGATAACATGTAGAGGGTCTGTCCTCCTAAGAAATGATATGCCAACGAGGTGAATCCTATTTAATAATTAACTTAACAACTGCCACCTTGATTAAGATTTGAAAATTGATTGAAAGTGACACATATCAAGAATTTAGGGTTTATGATTATAATGAAACAAATATTTCATTATAGTGCTTTCATCTTAAATCAGATTTGGATTGATTAATTATTTACGAGTGCGTGCACGCCTACAGCCAATTATTTTGAAGGTTTGACAATTAAACCATGACGAACGAACAGAAAAATTCACACTGTGAATTTCACAGTCGTATATATGTACATCTGAAATTACGGAATCTTTACGACCTTTTCATTCAAATGAAAGGAAATTCGTTTATCTTTTTCAAAAATCCGCAATTCGGATGAAATGATCAAAATCCGCACGGATTGTAATTTTCTAACTCTGAGATAGAGACTAAAATACGTAACTCTCAAAATGCTTATAAGAGATGGTCATTAGGTAAACTTCATTTTTCTGTTAGAAGTATCTCTCTAGGCTCCACAATGCCAAGACTTGGCCCAATTATTCATAGAACTGAATCTAGAAAGCGCTCAATTTCATTCCGAACTTACAAGCTCTGGAATGACCTTCCTAAAAACTGGGTATTCAATGAAATGACTTACTCAGCGTTTTGCGAGTCATTGAAAGAGTATATTATTCGAATGCGAGACAAAGGTTAATTGTACTTATTTATACATTCGGATAATCTGTTAATTTGATAGATTTAGTTAAGATTAGAGTAGTTATGTTGTAAAATTATATTCTATTACTGTCGCTTGGTGTCCAGGGCTGAAAATCAGTACGTGTGCTGACGCTCGTTCGACACCATTAATAAAAACTTCAATCAATCAATCATCGTTTTCATTCATTGTCATATTCGGTTAACTCGATGAAAGTTAACAGTGAACAATGGCGATATTCATGTAAATATGTATACATACTCAAGTACATATGTAGGGAACTTCTTCCTACTTTATATGTATAGATATAGAGATGACGATGTACATACGTGCAGTGCAAAAATTTGCAGCTTACAGATACGCTCTTAGAAAAACGGGGAGCCCAAATGACTTAACTAAATTGTGATAATATTTTATCCCACATTGTGATAAACCTTCCCCAATGTGTAAACGTAACACTAGATAGTGAGGATTTAACACATTGTGGGGAAGATTTATCACAATGTGGGGTAAAATATTATCACAATTTAGTTAAGTCATGTGGGCTTTCCGTTTTGCTAAGGGTAGTCAATCGTATGAGTCAATTCTGTCCAGATAGTAAATACGTTTTCGTGGTTAAGTACTTACCTTCACTATCTAGATAGATACATGCATAATTAAATGCCACCTCAGCAGTAACTTTTTTAATGTTATTTTTTCCGGTCCTCCGATGTTGATATTAGAAGAAAAATGAATGAATCATAAATGCATGGAAATTCGTTTACAACATCCTTTATGCACGGTCCCTCATATGACAATTTCGCTCGCGTATATATTATGCAACGTTAAATACATACATATCTAGGAGGCATGAATTTGTTATCAGAGCTAATAAATACTTACGTAGATAACGAAATACATAGTGATTCGGTTGGCAGTTGAACTTCACAATTTAATATTTACTTAATTTATTAACATAGGATACACAACAATAATTAAAATGAAGATCCTTTTACCCCTCGGAATTTTAGTGGTACAGATACTCACGTTTTTTCAAGTTTCTTTCGTACTTGGAAACATCGACGCAAATCGTCCAAAGGATTTAACAATCCGCAATGTCCTACTTTGGAAATTGTCAACCACCTCTGTGCCATACCTGGATTTGTACGTTGGCCTCAACGAGATTAACGTAACGCTTCACGTCGTCATGTTCGAGACCTCGAAACGCCCAGTGCTAGAGGGAATGAGGTAATTACTAATTACTAATTAGTTTTAGAAAGATTCAAAATTTATACTTTAGAGTGAGCTAAATATTCATATACATATACATATTCACATATTTTATGCATGTATATGTAGAATTAAAGTTCAAATTAGAGCAATAGTGATTTGTAACTTACCAAAACTTGTAAAGTTTGTCGCATATTTAATTTACACAGTTTTACAAATTAAAAAATCTCCCTGGATCTAAACAAGTTTAAAAACATTTGTAAGCTGATTTCCTTAGAAAATTTTCAAAATTTTGCCAAACTTTGCTGGTTTAAAGAACATACATATATATGAACTTTACAAAGTTACCAAGGCCTTCGTGAATTAATAAATTGAAGTAAAGGTACATAAATAAATGGTTATACGACAATGTTAATTAAGTTTACTTTAACACTTACCAGATTGACACGAGCACGAGTTGCCTCTCTTAACGGGCCAGTGTTCCACACGGACCTGACCCCCACCAATCTGCTGCACTTGGCAAAACTGTGCTACGTTAGGACGCTCACACCCGTAGGAAATTATGGTGACGAAGGTTTAAGTGACGACCTCTATGGGGAAATAGATCTAGCGGATCCGGACGAGTTAGTGGCCAAGGCAGTAGATGAACTTCCCCGAAAAGTTGGAGGGGTTTTGGGAATCAGAGACATTATCAATATTGGGATCGGAACCCATGACGAGAGATATCTTCCCTTTTTCACGCTAATGGTTGATTACGAAGATTACACAGGTGAATAATATGTGAATATGTAAATAAATTGGGGTTACACCGTTATAAATCTGGTATAGTCAGGCAGGCATTGATTTCTCCGTAACAAAGTTGCTACCGACTGGCCTCAAAATTATATGGGTCCGTACAGTGGCGCAATTAGCATATAGGCAAGGTAGGCAAGAACTAGGGGCCCCGAGACATTAAAGGGCCCCACGGCTGCTAACCATACATAAAATTTCAAATTTAAAAAATTGAATTAATTAAAAAAAACTCCTAATCGACGAATTTAATTGGTCTTAAATTTTTCATTGTAAGTTTTATGACATTTTTTCAAAATAAATATGTATAGTTTGAAGTTTAAAATCAAACGGTTATTAAATACCTACATAAGTATGCCGATTTTTGACAAATCTTATGCCAAAAAAATATTTGAAACATAATTTTAAAACGTTTAATTAGCTTCTGTAGCCAAAATCTGCATATTTCGTTTCGAATTTTGGAATGTCAAAAAAATTATCTTAAATGCAAAATGCATAAAGACACAAACACACAAAACTTTTTTGGGCATTTGCCTAGGGGCCCCCAAAATATAGTTGCGCCACTGGGTCCGTAAGAATTTACTACAGAAATGGTAAAACTTTAATATTATTCCTTGTCAAAATTTCTCACGTTGGTGAATGTGGAAATAAATTGAACTAGTATTGTCCAAAACGTATAAATTTATCGGTACAGCTACAGCTACAAGATACAGTAAAAGTTGCTACAGCTTGATATCAAAATTATACCGGTCCGTAAAAATTTGTTACCAACATGGGTAAATATTAATACCGAGCTCTTACTACACGGTATTACTTATCAACACCATTTCGGTAGATTCCATATAACCACCGCTTGGTATTATTTTTATATTGGATTTCTAAGAGTGTAGAACTGTTAAATATCAGCAGGGTTTAGTTTTTCCCGTCAAAAACGATTTTTTACCACGGCAGGTGGGAAAAAGTGGTAAAAACCGGGAAAAACGGTTCTTACCGTCCAAATGGCAAATATGGCTGCCCATGTATTTAGTTATGGGGAAAGCTAATTCTTTAGTAATCAATTTTCCGTAATTGGACTTCATATTCGTGATTTCCACGAATTTCTGAAAATTTTGATATGTAATACGAGCACTTTTGATCAGTTTTAATTATTTTTCCAATTTTCCCGTGTGAATACATGTTAATTTTAGAGATTGATCAAATTGAACCGTATTACCAACTAATTTTCTCAGAATTTGATGGAGAATACGAATATGAAGTCAAATTTTGAAAATCTTAAGTTTTAAAGAAGTTGTTTCGGATTGCCCCAAAACCAGAGTTCTTCCATTTTTCCCATTTCCCATCCATTTTGGGTGGGTGGTAAAAATCCTTTTTCCCACTTTTTCCCGCTGCCCTGGTCAATTTGGTTTTTACCAATCGAAACCATGAATATCAGTCGTTCTACGCTATCTTGTTTGCCATGCCCTCTGTCCATGTAAATGATTTCGTGATTTATTTCAATTTTAGGAACTACTCAAACCTCCAAAGTCTGCCTTCTTCTCTCAACCACGTTAGATTTTTTGTTCGAAAACGAACTCGAATCTGAAATCTGGGATTGTCGCCCCTGTGTGTGTACAGTGATGTGGCGGGATTTTCAAATTTCCGCTTCGATGATGCCAATGACTCCGACCTCATTGAAGATGTGTGGAACTGTCTTCGTGGGAAAATGTTGGATGATCCTGTCGGATGGCTGGAGGATGTCAAGACTCTTGAGAGCCTTAAGCGTCCAGATGTGCTCCAGGAAACTATGGTGACGAAAGTACCTCCATCGTCCGAGTTGACCATAAATGAGGTACAACTCGAGTGGCGATCGTGTGAAAAAGGGGCCCAACTATCTTAACATGGTCGTCCAAGTAGAAGTATTTGGAGGCCAAGGGGACGATGTGAAGAGGAAGATGAGCATTCATGCAGCAATAATAGAGTTAGGAGTGCCATTAAAGAGCTCAGATTTAGAGGTGAGTCTTGACCCTTTCCATACACGCGACAACTTTATAATGAGGGTATTCATTATTTCTTTGTATCATAAAAAGCTTACGAGATGTCATATCCGTCGTAATATTTTCTCATCGAAAATTTCGTTACTACCTCTCGAGTTTATTAAGCCTGACCCTTGTTTTATCTCCGTAAAGAATTTTATGATACTAAACACGAAGAAATAACGAATATTCTCTGTATAAACTATGCTGATGGAAGCGTGTGCTACATTTCTTGAATTGCAAAGCAAGAAATGCACGTGCAAGAAATATTCGCTATCTGGCGACGCTCCCTATCAACCATAGCGGCGGGAAGTGGTTTCTTGCACCTTGCATTTTTTAAGGGAACAACAGCTACAAGAAATCACTTTTTGCAGTTATTTCTTGCAAGTGGTTATATATTTACTTGCCTTCGATACACTGTAAAGCAAACATTTGAATTTAGAGTCATGAGTTTTTTTACTTCCGGTTGGAAATATTAAAATTTGGCTGAGCATGTATTGCTAAAATTTAATGTCAGGGTTCTGAAAAACCCGGGTTTTACTCTAAAAACAACTACCCCGGGGTTTTACTGGGTTTTACTGGGTTTTGGGTTTTACTGGGTTTTACTGGGTTTTACTGTATACCATAGATCGGATATTTACGTCCTCCGGCCTCCGCGTACTCCGGCCTCCGGCTGGCCACGCGTACTCCGGCCTCCGCGTACTCCGGCCTCCAGAAAAAGTCGCGTACTCCCGGCCTCCGGAGGCCGGAGTACGTACTCCAAGCCCGGAATTCTCCTATCTATGCGATCGGAAATTTTGCGTACTCCGGCTCCGTACTCCGGCCTCCGGCCGGCCACGTGTACTCCGGCCTCCGCGTACTCCGGCCTCCGGCTGGCCACGTGTACTCCGGCCTCCGCGTACTCCGGCCTCCAGAAAAAGCTGCGTACTCCGGCCTCCGGAGGCCGGGGTACGTACTCCAAGCCCGGAGTACTCCGATCTATGCTGTATACTGGGCTTCAAACACTCAAAACCGATAATTTTTACGTAATCTATGTATTTATTAATTTCATCAAAAATAAAGTCACAAAAAATCACATAGTTTGGAAAAATACTTCCTAATATGTAAACATTCTTAGTAATACTTATAACGGTGGGGAATGAGAGAAAGTTTCTATTAAGAGAGGTCAATATCTTTATCTTCTAATCTACCACAATTAAGTGTTCGATATATCATGCAAAGTTTACTTGCTTTTTCAATTTCTATCCTATTTCTTGTTTTTGAAATTATTATTCCCATTGTGCTGAAACACCGTTCCATCCCACTTGTAGATGCCGGCAGCATCATCAGTTCCTTTGCCAATTTAGCAAATCCAATTGGCAATTTATTTTCCATCTGCGACCCCATTATATCCCACCACTGAGAAGAAGTCAGAGCAAGTTCTCCCCGAAGTATCTCTTTGTTCATTAATCGTTTCACAAAATAATTTGAATCGCCTGCCTCAAGTTTCAATTGAACAGACTCGTATAATGGATTTTTCTTTGCCAGCCACACTTGCCCCCGTTCACGAAAGATAGTAGGTAACCCCTCGCCTAGAATATATACAAATCAAATGTTTAATATATTTTACTTTTTAATTTAACACAAGTATATTGCCTCGGTAATACGGATCGAGTAGATATGCAGCGCAAACAACGGGAGGGAGGGCTTTATCCATGCGTTCCTCAAATTTGCAGTTGGAATATCGCTAAGTCCAGTTTTTCGAGATCTTGACCCAGTGTCTAACAGCGTAGGACACATTTGCTTTCTCGTGTTGAAGCTGTAAATTTAAGGGCTAATTTTATTCACTATTTAAAATGAAAATATTTAGAAATGATAATTATGACTACCTTTGTAATCGCGCATGTTACCGGTGCCATCTTCTTCATTAAGTCTGTGACCCGTTGATAAAAGTAGAGATCTGTCAGAATGTCAGAAATTTCGGGCGGTGTTTTTGCCTTAACATCCTTAGCAGTGTCCAGATAAATCGTGTGATTCTTTGCGAAATTTTCTAAGCAGGAATATTGAGTGTTCCAGCGAGTTCGTTTCGGCAGAACAGTCTGCAATCCTCCAATTTTCTTAGGGTCTCCCTCGGAAAAGTGAAATCACGAAAAAAAGCGTTGAACGGCTTTTACTTTATCCATTATATCCTTCTCTGCTATTTCCTACCCCACGAGATTTAGCCAATGGGTGTGACAACCATATGTCGACAAATCAGAATTGGCTGAAAGAATGGATCGCATCGAGTTCATAGTTGTGCAATTATCCGTCACAACTGCACCAATTTCACAGCCAAATTTTCTTCTGCTTCTTCGATAGCGTCTTTGGCTAGATTAGCACAATATTCAGCGTCCTTGACTTCATTTGTAGTGGAGATTGCATTAACAAAAATAGAATCTCGACCTTCCACATTAATGCAATGTGAAATAACTGGAGCCTGCTTTAGTCCACTCCAGCCATCTTGCATAAGGGTTGCAAATTTTGATTGTGCTTTTTCCTTTGCAGTACTAACGATTTCATTATAAACTTTATCCAGCAACGGTCCTCCTAAAGTTTTGGAGGATGGTGGTTTGTATGATGGATTCAGCATTCGAAGTGCTTTAATAACTTCGGGGTGTTCGATAACGGAAAAAAGGTATGTTGCATGCAAAAAACGCTTTTGAAATTTGGGTATCCATTTATCCTTGAATTTTTCGAGCCCCCGAAACAGCTGAGGAAGTGATGTCTGAGAGTTCGTTTGCTTTACTGCAATAACTTGAATATCCCTTTGTGAGGTGTTAGCAACAGAAGGGGTGAGGAACGTCTTTTTCGATGGAGATTTCATATGGCAAATCGATACATGTGTCCGTAATCTCTCGACCTTAGCCCATCCAAATTTCTCTCCACAGTCTTTACATGTAGCGCTCCGTTTCTGTCCGGACTTGGTGATCAGAAATGAATCCCAGATTTTGTCCTCCTTTGGGCGACCACCCCGACCCTAAGTTCAAATTCATAAGAAATTTGAGTCTCACCTTAAGAAACCTTATATAGTATATAAGTGAGAGTAAATAATACACTCTCACCTTGGTGCCTGGCTTTGGTTTTTTTTGTTTTGGGCTCATCAATATCGTCGAAATCATCAACTTGTTCATAACTTGGATCTTTGTGAGTATCATCCGGTGAAGTACTACTTTTATCACAAATGTCTCTGTTTTGATTCTGGAATATAATTGAAACGAAGATACTTTTACAAAATCTGGATTACACATAAATAGATATGTAATTCAAAATTTTTAAATTTATTTACCAGGTGTAGTAGGGTTGTCTTGATTAACAGAAATTTTGAAATCTCCATTCTCGAATGTAGAAGCCTGACCATCGGAAATATCTTGGCTATCCACCAAAACCAAAGCTGGAAAGGGTTCGTGCGAAGTTGACTCCTCAGTTGTCAAATTATCTGTTAAAAAATATGCAAGTTATGTATTTTGTATTTATTTACTAAATAATAATTTGACTAATAATAATAAGTGTTAATCTCACCGAGTTCGTCTAGTATTTGTGAATTAGTTAATGGCGACAATCTTGACTTCGCCTGTTTTCGACGGTTTGCACGTTTACCAGCCATTTTATTTTAACTACCAAGGTCCAAATGCTTAGATTCAAATGTTTATTTGCTTATTTTTTAAACACCTACGTCTTGCAAAAATGATTGCTTATATTTTTAGGTCTACGATATAGTAGAGGCAAATTGTGAAGCCGTGTGAAGAATGTGGATTTCCAAGAATCTCACTGATGATGAATATCGAGGCAGATTTGAGTTAAAAATTAACGCGTACTGCTACTCACTTGATTTAGTCTCTTTTACAGTAAAACCCGAGTAAAACCGGAGTAAAACCCAGTAAAACCCCTATAACATAGTAAAACCCGTTGGGTTTTACTCATTTACGACCAAGTAAAACCCAGTAAAACCCCAAAACCCCAACCCAGTAAAACCCGGGGTCGGAATACCCTGTTTAATATATTCTCTAAATTTGTCCTTATTCCCGAGTAGTATCCCACCTGCTTGCTCATGTTTGGCGAGGGCGCCCACTCCAAACTGACCCCGCCCATTTTGAAAAACGTGACCAAGGTGTGCTATACAATGACGCGTAACAACGAACTGCGGGGAAAGGCGACTAGTGGACGCAGCGCAGTTATGGCTATTTTAACGGATGGAGGTTACAAAATTAGTGACAATATAGAAACCTCGATAAGTCTGAATGATCCGGGAAATCGGATGAATGAGGTGCTAAAAGCGTTGCGGACAAAACCCGGTAAGGTTACGCGAGTCAAGGACTTATTCACGCTGTACGTCCCAAACAAAGTGATCGGGGAGGAGGAACCTATTCTGAAGTACACTGTTGACTATGAGGATTACGAAGGTTACATATCTATTTTCCTAAATTCTTCTAAATTTTAATCCAATATCACACAAATTTTGCAGTTCAAATGTAGAAAAACGTATTCATAAATATGTACATATGTAAGTCATTTTGACGTGCATAACAAATCTTTAATGATTTGTTAACCACATGTGTAGGAGTTTGGAAAGTGTTTTTGATAATTATATAACTTGTGCAAAAAAACTACATTTTCATGAAGCCGCTATGTAACTTAACAAATGTTTGCCTCACTAAGGAAAATAATAATGAAGCTACTAATTTGAGGATGGACATTATTAATTAAAGATTGAGATTTAAAAAAAAAAAACCTGCATACATTTTGAATTACATTTTTAACGCCATAAAATAAATTTACTAACAGTCGGTAACAAATTAGTTATGATATAGTTATTGCTTGGTCATTGCCGTTACCTGATTTTTTAGAGTGTACATATTATTTTTGTATGCAGGAAATCAATACATTTCTAAAACCGTTTGCCTCCTCATGAGCGACACGATGGACGCATTATTAGAAATGGGAGTTGATGCAATCCCGTTCATTTGGGAATGTGAGCCCTTAGCTGATTACTAAAGTAGGATCGTCCTGCAACTCATCGACCGTGATTTGGACGATGCACTCGTGATATCCGTGATATGGAAGTGCATCAAAGTTGTCATTCTGGATGATCGCGAAGAATGGACGAAACGTTGGGAGGCTATCCAAGCGTTTAGGATAACAAGAGGTCTCGGTGAGAAGGAGGAACTTTAAATTTTTGTGTTCGTTTTACGATTAGTTTCGTGTAAAAAATCAGCACATTACAATGAATACAGTAAAGTAGCAAGAAACGTAACACCGGTTATACGAGTAGTATGAATTGGACAAATAAATAATTTTTACAATTTTTGAATTGCACTTATGACTTTTTAAATACTGGTTTTTACTGTACAGTACAGGTGATTCCACGACAGTTTTATCATATTAATATCAAGATGCCTAACAATAATTAATGGACATTTTTCACAGTGCCTTAAGCAAATTCTAACTTAGAAATCCTTAATTCATTTGAGTTTTGACTTTTCAATTTATGAGTATAATAAATGCGCTCAGATATATGTACATATTTACGTCATCCGTATAATCTTGCATGAATAAATAATGCTTTTTAATTTTGGACTTGCAGTTACATAAATCTTTTTACTAGTTCTTATTATGCACATACGTGGTTTTAGAATTAAGAAGAGACTGCACATAGCTCTTTTTAGAATTACTCCGCATATATGGAAACATGATTACATAATTTTACAAAAATATGTGCTATTTCATAAAATGAGTTACAAAGCGTCCAATCAAGGGGAAAGAATTAAGCAGTATTTATCACCTCTAAATAAATTCCAAACATTTATTTCGACAAAAGCAGGAGGGTAGTGGTTTGCCGAATGCAGAATTCCTGAATAACCAGGGGTGTCATTGGTTCGACAAAATTATTTCCAAACTGAACCCTCAATGGGGTCAACGACCTGCAAATCCGCTTAGTCACTGGCGACTTGCTTATTTTCTTGAACCCCATTATCCACTTGGTGCTGAACCGAATTACAAATCCTGCCATGGAAAATGTTGTCATTGATACGGTAAGTAGCCCAATATACGCAGCGATGAACATAGCAGCTCGCATAATGCTTGCTTCCGGAACGTGGCAAATTTTAATCGCGACAAAGCAAAATATCAACTGCGCAAAGGGCAGAAAGTATCCATATATAGCAAATATCCTTTCCCGTATGACAGAGTTGACGATTTTTTCAAGTACTTGCAATTTTCTGTAGTCTGAAATTCCTTGAGAAAAATCGTCAAGCCTTTTCAATTCTGTTGATAAGAAGCAAAGACATGGCACAAGGGTAGCCACGGCGTGATAACCTGCCCCGACGATGACTGTGGTCATATTCAAAAATTCGAAGACAACAAAGATCGTACGCTGCACAAAATGTGGAACATCCAAGCGACCATTTTGGCAAAACAGGGCACTAAGAAGGGGTGCCTTGCAGGGAAACAGGAAAGCTAGTAAAGCTGTGGAAAATGATACAATGTAGTAATCAATTTCAACCATGTTCAGGCAGAGGTAGGCACATTTCCAAATTTGTGATTTGTCAGAATGATTAGCACCTGTTGATAAAAGTACGGATAGCCAGTTAAGAAATGAATTATAGGGTTTAATTCATTGCTTGACTGAGTTTGCAAGTATGCAGGGGAGTATAGTTTGATTTTTAAAGGGTGACATCCATACATAAGCTTTGCATGCAAAAAATGTCTCCTGAAAAAATCAGAGCATGCTGGATTTTACTTGAACCAATAAAATCCCGGGATTTTACTCTCCTATTGGAATTGTATTCAGTTTTGCTTGGTTTAGTGTTTGACATGACAAGTTTTCGCGACATGACGTGATGAATTATTTATTGTTGTAATGCAATAAATAATTTTCTGACGTTTTTTCAACTAGGATCAAGTTCTCTGCGTAATGTTTCTTAAACAAGCACAAGCAAATCATCAATTTTACAAGATTTTACCCCAAACAATAAATAAAAGCAGTAGGACCCTGTATTCATTTTTTGAAGATGACTCGAGGTTTTTTATAAAGGGTCAAATTTATAGTGCCCAACCAAATTTTTTTTCTTCCAACGAAAAGAAATAATTTTCGCAACACTAAAATTTGCAACCAATCGCATTTTTTAATCCAACTAAAATGTAAAATTTTACAACCAACAAAGTTTATATTTGCGCAGCAGAATAATTAAGTTTAGGCAACAAAAATGTTCAAATGCAACACAATTTTTAATAAATTTCACAAGTTGGGAAAAAACATGTGCATTCAGTTAACAATTAAAGCTTTCCCTACATTGTGGCCATACAGTTTCTGACCAGGTGAGGTATAAATTCTAATAATTGTTATTTTTGCAAGCAATTTATTTTGTATGTCGTCCAGACGATCTTGCATATCTTGAAGTTTGGTCCTGAAAATTTCTGACCTATTTTCCAAAACAGTGTTGGGATTTTTTTCAAAGTGGTTTGAAAACGTTTATTGTAGGAAGCACGCTCTAATTCCACCGTGTCCTTACTTGTGCTAAGACGTTATCCAAAGTATGGTTCCGAAAGCCTTGCACTATGATAATTAATTGTGCAAACTTGCAGTTCATTCCATAAAGCTTCTCGAGCAATAAATATAAGGCTTTAGGTGCAAAAAGTAGGAAAGTGGAAAGACTTTCTGACTATACTGTATTTCATTCGTAAGCTAATTCTCGAAATTTATCTTTGAACAAGTTTTTTTTTCAAACCACCCTAACACCTTACAATAAACTTTGTAATTTTCTGTGATTTAAAATTTGAATTTAAAACTTGAAAATAAATTTTAAACACATTTTAGACTTTTTCATCCAAACCAACACCGACAATATATGTATATCCATCAATGGCTTCACAATTCACAATTCACATACGTTACGTGACAGAGGGGGGGGGGAAGGCTATCAAGTTTTCGTGACGCTAGCAGCGGCTTGATGTCCAAAAAAGCGTTAAAAAATTCAAAGTCCAAAACAATTTGCGTTATGAAGTTTGTGAACGTCCCCTAACCTGTGAAATTTCATTAAAATGTTGTTGCATTTGAACATTTTTACTGCCTAAACTTAATTATTCAGCTGCTAAAATATAAAATTTGTTGGTTGTAATCAGGGCCCTTACGAGGGGCTGCCAGGTGGGGGTTTTCCCCAGGGCCGGGCCCCGAAGGGGGCCGGGCCCTGGTGTCCACTACAAAATTTCACGGAAAATTATTTAAACGTTTCGAAGATTTTGAGCAATTTCGTAGCGTGCCAATATCGAACAGAAATAAACAATAATTACCCTAAAATTAAAACATAGTTAAAAAAACTCTTTTCACTTTTGTGAGCCTAAAATAATTTATCCTTGATTCTTTCAAATTATTAAAATGGAGAAATTATGGCGTGAAAATTATAAGCCCAATCTATGCATTCTTACTTGGGCTGACCAAGTAAAAAATGCATCATAACCTTTTTTACCTCTCCGAAAACACTAAAAAAGCTAGGGCAGGTGTAATCCCCAGAAGGTATCGGGTAGTTGTGTCCACTAAAATTATTGTACGAACAAGTTCGCTACCTATCACAAGTCCTTAATTGCTTCGAAGATTTTGAGCAGCCACATTGGGTTTAAATGTCGAATCTACAAAGGCACCTATGCCATCACATTGTCGATCATAAAAGAACAATAGCTAACAATGGTTATGTACCTACCTTGGAATAAAAGGTAGAATTTAAGCTGAAAATCTGGGGCTCCGGACGAGTGGGTGGCCGACAAACTGTCTCGTCAACATCATATTGGTCGACAACCAGCTGGTCCCCAATCTCAGCTCGTCGACAAAATATTTGTCTTCACGATTTCGGTACCAATGGGTTCGGCAGGCGTGTTTCTCCCAGATTTTTTTGCAACATGTACATTTTCAGACATATTTATATGTATTAAATGAATAACCTTTAGTTCAATTAAAAACTCGATCATCGATTTTTAACTTCAAAATAAATAAAACTATTCCATATCCACATCGAAATCAATTGATTTGCAGTCTTCCTGCACAACGCATTATTCTGTTATGGGAAATGGAGTTGTTTTAAGTAATTATTTTAAAATTAAAAACGATGGTTTTTTTCTTATCGGCCCGAGTTTTGAACTAAAACTTTGTGTATTTGATAGATGTGCGGAATTGTGCATGTTGCAAAAAATCTGCGAGAAACAAGCCCGGCGTATCAATTCTAAGTCCACATACCGTTATAGAAAAATGTTAATTTGGATCAAATATGGTAATATTTTTAACTTATGCGACTGCAATTTTCACTTATCGATGTAATGCTATCTTTTGGCAGAATTTCTGGATAAGTAGTAATAAAATTATACATCTTCCCATGCAAGGATTACTTAAAACTTGTAACGTTGGTCGACTAATATGTTGTCGACCACTTTAAGTTGGGGACCAGTATGACATGTTCGACACATACACTGTTTCGACCAATTTTCTGCCGACCACATATCTGTTTTGTCGACTAATCAGGTTTCGACGAAACGTTTGTCGACCATTCGTCGCTAACCTGAAAATTTTGTGTAAGACCCTATGTCACATTGTCACAGGGCGAAAACAGGACATGCTTGATTTTACTAAATTACTAAAGCAGGAAATTGTGCAGTCAAAATGATAAGCCCAACTTCGATTTCGAAATTTTTGCTGACCAAATAAAGAAACGTACCGGGTAGATTTTGTATCACCGAAGACATTAAAAAATCTGGAGCTATTGCACCTATTTGTACACAATGCAGATGCATACCAGGTCCTTCGGTGAAAATGATATTTCGAAGAACAAATCAAAATAATTTTTTAAAATAGTTCAATTTTCAAACTTTATAGCGCGTAAGGTATAATAACGCAAATTGTACCCATGCGGGTTTTGCGGCCCTACATTTTTAAACGAAGTTCAAAGTCTGGGCACTACTATGTCGGCGTTTAACAAAGTTGAAAAAGACCTAATTAAACTAGGACCCTTGGATATCCTGAAAATTCTACATATATACATATTAATGGTCTCGCGTGTGCGTATCTAAACTTCGAGATGGCACTGAGGATGTTTCTCAGTCTGCCCATTTCTGTTCCGTCAAATGAGGGGCCATTTTGCAGATGAAAATAATCAAGAATTATCTGAGGTCAACAATTGGCAAGAACGATTGAATGCCTTTGATTTCGAAGTGGTTATAAATAATTTCGCCTCCAAAAAAGATTGCACAATCATAATTCTGTAACGTTGAAGTAAGAAGTGGTTGAAGTCAACACAATCAAGATATTGACATCTTGTTAATTCTTTTGCTGACTTGCTTACGATCAGAATTGTTTTAAAGATACCTTTTTAGACTCAAAATTTCACGCACAAATGCCAAATAATAAATGGGGCCGGGCCTAAAAAATCCCCAGGGCCGGGCCAGGCAAGTTTGGGCACTGGTTGTAATATTTTATATTTTGGTTGGATTAAAAAATACGATTGGTTGCAAATTTTAGTGTTGCGAAAATTATTTCTTTTGGTTGGAAGAAAAAAAATTTTAGTTGGGCGGTTATATTGGCACCCTTTTATAAACATGATTTTACGAATTAACCAACTTACATATATAGTTCAAAAGAGAAATTTGATTCAAATCCGGGTGAGGGGTCGACTTCATCAAGAAACATGCAAGCATTATCATCGTAAATCCAATGGCTTCTACAGTGTCGAGAAGATTTGTAGCTCTTGTTCGTGTGCAGTACAGTTGCGTGCAAATACTCAGGAAGTGGATAAAATGTAGAAGGTTTACTATTTTGTGATGTTTCTTATTTCGTACAATGATTTTGTTCTTAGTTATATCCCAGATGGTAAAAACACATATTAATCGGTCTCCATATTTGTGGTATCGTTTCAGCCTGACAACTAGAGGGGAGTCGGTAATCATTTTTGGCGAAGACGTTATGTCCATTGGTGAGAATGGTGAGATAATAAAGAACGAGGAATGCTTTCAAGAAGAGTCAGGATTATGTAGATAAGGCCAAGTACTCCAAAGACAGGTACGCACATCTCACTTTAAAAGAATCATTTTTAACTAACGGTGGTGGGAGCAAACCATGTTAAACCCAGATTATTTTTTATCTCCTCACCCTGAAAGAAGCAATATTAAGTGGTAAAGCATAATACTCAGAACGGATTTTTCGCAAAAACAAGAATACGAAAAATTCAGCGATTTATTTGAAGAAACACTCCCATTGAGAACACTTACAATGCAACCTTTTTTCAAGCTATGTACATCGGGATCAACTAGCGAGCTATGTCGAAAAATCAAGCCAAAAATTACTAGTCACATGGCGATTATCTTTCCATTGAATGGCCCCTTTGAGGAAAAATATTGGCGGTTAAGTTCAATTTTTGAGCAGTTTTTCTCCTGCTTTTTCCCCCACGGGGTGAAAACAAGGGAGGAGTGCGAACTTTGACCCCCAATATTTTTGATCAAAGGGGCCATTGAACGGAAAGGTCAGTGTCATGTGACTCCTAATTTTTGGCTTGATTTTTTAACATAACTCGCTACTCGATCCTCGTGTAGCTTGGAAAAAGGTTCCATTGTTAGTAGTGAAATTCCCGTGAAGCAGTAATTTAATACAAAGTATACCAAATCAAAGTGTGTGGCGAAATAAATTGCAAAATGTTACTTAAGTTTCCTATGCGTGTTTTGTTAAACTTTTTGGCGCAAAAAATCCGTCCTTAGTACCAGGCTAAACCTCCGCATCTTTCAAGGATGGGATGATCAAACCATAATTTGGGTATATCATGATTTGTGCCTTCATTGTTGGAACAAATCAGTAAAATCACAGATGTTATAGGCTATATTCTGGTTCCAAGGAGTGGAGTCTAACTCAAATTTAACGAAATCAGTAAAGAAAAGAGTAGCTATTTGTAGATACATCGTATATGTTCACCAGAATCAAAGTGCTTAAACGGCAATTCCTTAATTTATAGATTTTGTGAGAAATAAGTAGCAGGAAAAATATATTTATCGCTTATTATGTTACCCCAAACTTTGTAGGACCACTCTAGCACCTCAATCCTAAAGTAAAATCTAGTAGCGTGGGTGGCGGTTTGCAGGACCAAAACCCGGACTATTTCCTAACCCTGCAAATAAATACAGATAAGTATTTACCAGTTGGACACTTTTAGAAATTTTGCCTTTGCTTAACAACTTTTTCGTACTTTAATTACTTTTTTAACCAATAAATCGACAACCAGGGAAAGCTCTAGTAAGATTTATGAGAGAATGGTTTCAATTAAATTAGTGGTTCGAAACGAATGAGTTTTGCATGAATAATTTGTTGAGCATAGACTTATGACTATACCCGCAAAATTGAACATAAGCTAATTTAAATTGTACCCTGGTTTTGCTTGCCTTGAGTAGGAGTAAATTACGTACTTATGTAATTATTGTGTTGAAGGATCTATGTATGTATATATTGCATATATTTTATTGCTCGAGAAATTTTCCAGGTATTAAACCGTTTCAGGAGGAATGATAACGGTAAATAATTAACTTTATCACTACCACCTTGATTTGGATTTAGAAACTCATTATCCACCGCGGACTGAATAGCTGTGTTTGGCGAATGATAGATTGTAAGAATGGAGTTGTTTGGAATTAATATGGAAGCATGAATTCTAAATAAATGCCTGCATACATTTGCTTCGTTCTAATTAAGAATTAATTTAGAACCATTAATAATATATTTACAAATGCGGTCATGCATACATAAACTACATAGAAAATTGACAGGAAGATTTGGAAATTAAAATTAAATTAATTAAATGAATTAATCATGAAGTAGATACATAAATAAGCAGAAGCTTAATAAATACTCTTACGATGCATTATTTTCATCCCCAAGAAAAAGCATCTACATATGTATATATGAAGTTCAGAACAGCACATAAACAGCGACTCAACTCTAAACCCATGAGCTTGTGAATCATCAATGATGATATGTATTTATGTAATTTGTTCTCCTACTTGAAATGACAATGTGATCGTGCAATACAAAAAATTGTTGCTTACAATACGATGGTGTGAAGTGCAACGGTCAGAGTTGGTTAAAATTTTGGAATTACGCAGTCCAAATTGGACTGCACGAACTCCCTCAAGAAATTTGACTTCAAATTTTCCGATAAATTCTGACCCTCGCAAAAACTGCTTCAAGAACCGTTGTTCGTATCGACTTGGACTGTATAATTTGAAAATTTCAACCAAATCTGAGACTTGCACTTCACACCATCACATTGTTAATCAATCATATGAGTCCATTTTGTCCAGATAATAAATACATACATACATATATGCACAATCTAAATACATACATATTTCACTTCAACATTAGTTTTATAATGCTATTTTTTCTGGTCATCCCGCTATCGACATACCAAATACATAGAATGGCTCATATGTAAATGCTTGGAAATGCAATAACATTCTTTATGCATCGCCCTCTGTGCGACAATTTCGCTCGGCTATTTATTTATGCAACGTTTGATATCTGAGAGGCATAAATTCGTTATCAGAGCTAAGTACATATGTAAATAGATAACGAAATACACATTGACTCGGTTGACAGTTCAAGTTTGCGATTTAATACTGCACACATTTACATTTATGTTCACACCAATAATTAAAATGAAATTCTTTCCTGACCTCGGAATTTTAGTTCTACAAATACTCGCCTTTTTGCAAGGTGCCTTCGTCCTTGGAAATATGGACACATCTCGTAAGGATTTATCAATTCGCAATGTTGCCCTACTTTGGAAATTGTCCACCGCCTCTGTACCATTCCTGGATTATTACGTTTATCTCAACGAGATTAACGTAACACTTCACGTTGTCATTTTCGAGACCTCGAAACCCCCAGTGCTAGAGGAAAATGAGGTGATTAATTACATAGAAAATTGATAATTTCCAGTGAGCTAAGTTTTTATAGGATTGAAGTTCATATTACGACAATTTACGAAGTGATTGCTAATTTTGCAAAATTATAATGATTTTGAAAAAGACGCCCTTGACATGGGTAAGATTATGCAAATTTGTGTGCAATTTACACTTACAAGGGACACTCATGACCTGTCGTTTGAGTCCAGGGTACCCACTATGTTATTTTGAATCTACTAGGACCCCAGATGAAGGATTCATTCATATTTCCGTGTAAAACTCATATTTGGCGCCATGGCGTGGCGCCAAACTTAGAAATTTGCATTTTCGACCAATTTCAAACCCTCATAACTTTTGTAGTTTATGTCGGATTTTCAAATTTTTATGCTTAAAATGACCACAAAAGTCAAAATTTTTGAGAAAAAAATAAAAATAAAAAATTTCTAATTTTTGAGATATTTTTAGCATTTTTTCGACGAACCCCCATTTCTAAGAAAATTACGAAATTTTTCGAAAAGTTAAAAGCGATAATTTTGGAAAAAATTTCATGGAATACGAAAGTTTAACTCCTTGTCATGATTTTTGCCAAAAATTTTTAAAATCCGTCCAGGATTTCAAAAGTTCTGGCGGTTTCAAAAATAAAAACATTCAAATTTGGCGAATTTGGCCCCACGGCATGACGCCAAATATGAGTTTTACACGGAAATATGAATGAATCCTTCATCTGGGGTCCTAGTAGATTCTAAAAAACATAGTGGCCACCCTGGACTCAAACGACAGGTCATGAGTGTCCCTTGTTAGAAGTATTTCAAAAATTCTGTAAAAGTTTGGAAATTTACAAAATTGTCGAATGTTATAATGTTAAGAAGAACTGCGTGGATTCCCACATCTTATTAAATTAAACGTATATAGATATTTGTACGAGAATGTTAATTAAGGTTGTTTTAACGTTCGCCAGATTGACACGAGCTGCCTCTCTTACGGTCCAACGGCCCACACAGACCTGACACCCACCCATCTGATGCACTTGGCGGAAGCGTGTTACGTTAAAATTTTCACATCCGCGGAAAATTATGACGATGATGTTCGGTTCAATTTGGATGACGACGTCCACGCAGAAATTGACCTCGCAGATCCGGCTGAGTTAGTTGCCCAGGCAATTGATGGCCTTCCTCGTAAAGTTGGAGGGGTTTTGGGAATCAGAGACATGATCAAAATTGGGATCGGAAATCATGACGAGAGATACCTTCCCTTATTTACGTTAATAGTTGACTATGAAGATTACACAGGTAAATATGGGAATATGCAAGTAAATTTGTGTTTACCCTGGTAGAAATCTGGTATAGTCAGGCAAGTATTGATTTCTCGGTATTAAAGTTGTTACAGCTAGGTAATATGTAATGTCACCTCGGCCCGTTGAAATTTACTACAGATATGGTTGAACTTTAAGACCGAGTTATTACCACCCGGTATTACCTGTAAATACCACTTTGGTAGAAACATATGAATATGCAACTCTTGGAATTAGTGCAATATTGAATTTCTAAGAGTATTCAACTGTTAAATGCCAATATGCCCAATCTTTCAACTCTATTTTGTTACGCGATTCGTGAAAAACTAATTGACTAACTCTGATTTATTTCAATCTTAGGAACTATCCAAACCTCCAAAGTCTGTTTTCTTCTCTCGACCACGTTAGAATTTCTGTTCGAAAACGAACTTAAACCAGAAATCTGGGATTGTCGGCCCATGTGCGTGTACAATGATGTCGCGGGATTTTCAAATTTCCGGTTCGATGATGCCGATGACTCTAACCTGGTTGACAATGTGTGGGACTGTCTTCGCCAACGAGTGTTGGATGATCCTGTCGGATGGCTGGAGAATCTCAAGGTCATGGAGGAACTTAAAGGACAAGGTGTGCCTCAAGAAAATGTTGGCGACGATGCAGTACCGTCCGAGTTGACCGTTGATGAGGTACATCTTGAGTGGAGACCGTGTGAAAAAGGGGCCAACTATCTTGATATGGTCGTCCAAGTAGAAGAATCTAGAAACCAAGGGGACGGTAGCAAGAGGAAGATGAGCATTCACGGCGCTATAATAGAATTAGGAGTGCCGATGAATAAGCCAGATTTAGAGGTGAGTCTTGAACCGGAGCATATTTACTTGCGACAAGTTTAAGGTATAAATTATTTACGAACGAAATGGGGGTAACGAGTCCTCCACCAATTCCTCCACCAAAGGATAGTGCATAAATCTAAATTATTTTTGATATAACGACTAGGTAATTTCGCCTGCCCCATTCCGAGATATTTGAGTTCAAAGTTCTTACAATTTTTCCGAAGCCGAGCCAAAAATGTCTTCACGATGCCTCATATATTAAAATAAAACCGTTTTTGCTCACCTTGGAAAAATTGGAAGACATTTAAACTCAAATATCTCGGAATTGGGCAGGCGAAAAGACCTAGTTGTTATATGAACAATATTCTAGATTTTCTGCGAATCTTAGAGGAATTGGCAATGAAGTCCATTTCCTTTGTCCCCCTCCTTCCTGGCCCAACGTGCAGTGTTTTGTTTCTTACGAATTTGTTACATTTCTTTCAACGCAAAGCAAAAAATGCAAGCTAACGAAACTGCTTAAAATACGCGGCATCTAGCCACGCCCCCAACGAACCAAGGCGGCAGTTGCTTTCGCCTTGCATTGTATGCAGCTCGCAACCGCTGCAAGAAACGACTTTTCTGCGGTTATTTCTTGCAGGCGTTAACTTGGCCGAAAAATACGGTTAAATACAATAAAAATTTCAATTTAGAATCATGATTTTTTCCACTTCCGGTCAGAAATATAATAAACTTGGTTGAAAAATCATAAAATTAAAGTGTGCAATTTAACCGAACGTAAATATGTGTATTGTTATTATATATTCCTGAATAGTATCCCACCTGCTTGTTCATCTTTGAGGAGGGCGTTCACTCCAAACTGACTCCGCACATTTTGACAAACGTGACCAAGGTGTGCTACACAATTATGCGTAACAACGAACTGCAGGGGAAAACGAGTGGTGAACGCAGCGCAATTATGGCCACCTTAACCGAAGAAGGTTACAGAATCAGTGACAAGGTAGAAACCGCAGTAAGTTTGAGTGATCCGCAAGATCGGATGAATGAGGTGCTAAGCACGTTACGGACAAAACCCGGTAAGGTTACACGAGTCAAGGACTTATTCACAAAGTGAGCGGGGAAGAGGAACCTATTCTGAAGTACACTGTTGACTATGAGGATTACTAAGGTTACATATTTACCTAAATTTTGCTATTAAATTTTTAAATGTGTCTAAATGTGTTTAAATGTGTTTAATCGAGTAATTCATTCTAAAGACGTTTTTTCGATTCTCGCTAAAATTCGAAAATTTACATAATTTTGAGAAACCGAGGTTTTGGCTGGAAAAATATTTAAAATTCGCCCCTCATGCCTAACGAATATTTTTTATGCAGGAAATGAACAAATTTCTAAAACCGTTTGCCTCCTCATGACGGACACGATGCAAGCGTTAAAGGAAATTGGAGTTGATGGAATCCCGCTAATTTGGGAGTGTGAGCCCTTAGCCAATTACGATGGTGGTAGGAGCGTTCTGCAACTCATTGACCGTGATTTGGACGATGCACTCGTGATTTCTGAGATATGGAAGTGCATCAAAGTTTTCATGCTGGATGATCGCGAAGCCTGGACGAAACGTTGGGAGACTATCCAAGCGTTTAGGAGGAACAAAGAGCGCGATGAGGACTTTGGAAAAGAAGAACTTTAAGTTTTTGTTTATGTCCAATTCGTTTTGTGTATGACATCAACATTTTACAATAAATAATAAATACAAAAAGTGTAAGAGTTTTCATGTCTTCGTGCATTCATTCGGTTTTCATTTCATTTTGTCAGGAATTTTAGTTGATAATTTAGCCAGACTTCCAGCTGGAATCGTAATTTTTTGCTTGGCGCTTTTTTATATATAAGTATTTGCACAGCTTAGTTTGGTGATGTAAGAACGAATTTGCGACATATTGATGGAGTTTATTTATTTCAATAAGTTGATGTATGGATGTGCTTTTCGAATGATAGCATACACTCTTAATATTACCTTAAAGTGAGTGAGTGAGGTGAGGCGAACACGTGTTTGCCTCACCTCACGCACCATGTCTCGTCTCATGAGAAATAAAAAAACCCGTCAGTAATTTTATTGGCTGGACTGCCCAATCTTTGGTGTCCTCCGTAATAACCCGGTGTTGATCATCACCACGTGGGGTGCATATGTGACTACCTAAATGATGATAATGCTTTTCACCGCATTGTGATAAATCTTGCCCGTATGATGAAAAATTTTCACTGGATGGTGTTAAATTTTTCACAATTATCGAAGCCTAAGAAACATTATCACCGCGCGGTGAAGTAACATAGCCATGCACACCGTTCGGTGACGCAACACTGCCTTATTAAGAGTGTATGTAAGTAAATAATGGATTCGATCAGGTTTTCGAACCGCCCTGTCCACTTATCCTAGTCGATTCATAGGCAAAGTCACCTAATCTAGACATAAATGACACATAATTTAGCACAAAATTTTATGCTAATGACTACTTTAGTACGATAAATATATTTCAATACATCGTACATTTAGATGTACCGTGCGCAAAGGTGTAGAGGGATATGTATATATGTGCAAAGCTCGGGAAATAATATAACCCCAGAGGTAGGCGATTAAACTATAATAGTTCGACTATTGATTTCTTGTCAATAATTAAAGCCAGGATCCCTCCGCCCAAATTTGTGACACTTTAATTAAATCACTTCATTTCACCCTGCAATTCTAAATAATGACAGCGTAACGGATTCGGCATGAATAATGGAATATGTGCCAATGTATGTATGTCTTTATTTAGAATCATTTCATAAATATGTATGTATACATATGTATGCATGCAGTGACTAGCAGAGTGGAGTCGGATCAGCGTTTTAGAAAATCGTTTTTTTTAACTTATTGTTAGCAGTAGAAGGTAACAAGTTGTCGGAGCCCGAGTTTGATCTCCTTTGAATATGTTGTAGTACTATATACATAGTGTGCAAAAAGTGAAGGAGGGTTAAACGCCATGAGCCCATTTCCGCTCGCCACACCCCCTCAAAGGCGCCCAAACCATAATAGTTGCCGCACTAAATTCATTGCCAAGAATCGAGTTTTGGTCAAATTTTCAAGAAATTTACATTTTTGTGATCCCAGATAGTTGCTCTGTCATATCCAATAGCAAACTCAACATTTTTGAAATTTCGAATTTTTTAATACTTGGTCAGAAAATCTTCGAAAATATTAAAATTTTCAAAAAGTAGAGTTTGCTACAACATATCCAAAGGAGATTAAAATCGGGCGTCGACAACTTGTGACCTTATACTCCTTAGAAAAATTCAATCTGATTTGACAACAAAGATGTATGTATGTGCGTTATACACAAATTGTCTTCCATGCGGAGACGCTTTTTTGAATAGTTCGGGCATCAATCTCCTGGAAAAATACATCCATAGGTGTGCAGCTTCCGACTAACGAAATTGAGAAGCAGCTTCCGGACGTAGGAAGCGGAGATTTTTGCTCCAGTGCTGCAAGCTGTTAGCCAAAATTTTGGTCGGGAGCGGAATTACCAAGCTGACCACCTATGCACAACCGGTAGAGTCACGTCTAACACAGGAATTCTGAAGCCGTTTTCTGCCTACATACTTCCATTCTTAATTATACACTACAATTATTAACAGACCTATGTAGCTATTAAATAAAATACTCAATTATTATCCCAATAACGTCGGTGCAATGAAGCTACCAATTCTGATGGAGATTGATTAAATTGACCAATTTAACAGGCACGTGTTTATAAACATTTACTGCATTACTTGACCTTCGGAACCAAACTGAAATTTTGAAGATTTAATTGATAATAATTCTACTGCTTATTTAACCCCAACCATTTAAGAGCTAAAAAGTCGAAACAAACCAAATAAAACACTGCGTCGTCACACCAAACTCAAATAGTGATCACCTAACATTTCTCGTTGTACGTAACACTAGTTAACAGTTACTAAAACTAATTAAGCTTAAAGGATGCAAAACGTTAAATTTGCAATCAAATTATAATCCAAATTGACAAACCTCGAATCAAAAGATTTTTTTCCGTATTACTTATTAATATATGAAATGATTGCCACAGATATCAATTTCGTGAAAAGTAGCTTTTCACGAAATTGATATCTGTGGCCTAAATTTCATGTATAGGTAATACGGAGGGAAATCTTCTGATTCGAGGTATATATTTCAATTTGGATTATAATTTAATTGCAAATTTTACGTCTTGCATCCTTTAATTTTAATTCGTTTTAATAACTAATGTTACATACATCGAGAAATGTTCGCAGATCTCTAGTTGAGTTTGGTGTGACGACGCAGTGTTATATTTGGTTTGTTTCGATTTTTTAGCCCTTAAATGGTAGGGGTTGAATAAGCAGGAGAATTATGATTAATTAAATATTCAAAATTTCAGCTTAAGTTCAAGTAACGAATTAAAGGTTTACAAACCCATGTCTGTAAAATTGCGCAATTTAATCCATTTCTATCAGTATTGATAGCTTCTTTGCATCCACATTATGAGGATCATAATTAAGTAATTATTATACTTAATAGCTATATAAGTCTGTTAGTAATTGTACTGTATAATTATCAACAAAAACATACCTATGCGCACATTATGTACATTATTCATGCCCAGTCCGTTGTGCTGTCATTACTTAGGAGGGGGGCTTGCGAGGTTGATAATAACAGATCTTGATGCCCTTTGGATATGTGGTAGTGTCCTATGAGTGTACCAAAACCCGGAAGTGGTTTGACTCCATGGCCACATTTACGCCCGCCACACCCACTCAAAAATGCCCAAAAAACGCTTTCAATCGAGTTTTCACTCACTCGAATCCACCCCAAAAATTCAATTTTACTCGGATTTTGAAATTTCTTTCACCATTACACTCCCAGATAGTTGCTTTCTTCAATCCAATATCAAACTCAATTGTTTAGAAATTTTTAGTATTTTTAAAATACAAAATTCTGAATGAGCATTGTTGTAGTAATCAACAACGCAAATTATGCCAGCGATATAATCATCAGCAAAATTGAGTTTGATATTGGATTGAAGAAAGCAACTATCTGGGAGTGTAATGGTGAAAGAAATTTCAAAATCCGAGTAAAATTGAATTTGTGGGGTGGATTCGAGTGAAAACTCGATTGAAAGCGTTTTTTGGGCATTTTTGAGTGGGTGTGGCGGGCGTAAATGTGGCCATGGAGTCAAACCACTTCCGGGTGTTAGTACACTCATAGGACACTACCACATATGCGAAGGGCATCAAGATCTGTTATTATCAACCTCGCAAGCTCCCCTCCTTAGAAATTCTTAGGAGGGCAGGTTGTATGCTATCAACTCCCGGATCTCGATGCCCTTTGGATATTTTGTAGTGTCCCATGAATGAACAAGAACCCTGAAGTGGTTTGATTCCATGGCCACATTTGTGCGCGCAACACCCACTCAGAGGTGCCTAAAAATTGCTTTCACTCTAGCTTTCACCCGTTCGAAATCACGCCAAAAATCTAATTTTACTCCGATATTGAAATTTCTGTCATCATCATTATACTCCCAGATAGTTGTATCCCAGATAGTTTGATGATCCAACATCAAACTCAACTTGTTTAATGATTATGTCGCAGAAATAATTTGCTTTGTTGATTACTACAACAATGCTCATTCAAAATTTTAGATATAAAAAATACTAAGAATTTCAAAATGTTGAGTTTTATGATGGATATAAGAGAACAACTATCTGAGATAGGGATGGTAATCCGTATCCTAAATTAACCGATCCGTAGGATAGGATCGGATAAATACAGGATCGGATCGGATCGGATTTGCTCGCTTTAGGATCGGATCGGCTCCCGGTTCTACTCGAAATCCGATGCGATCCGATCGTAGGATATCCGCGGATGATATGTGTGAGACACCTTGTGTCTAACTATGGAAATACTTTACCAGCTGCTTTTCTTTATTTATTGGAACGGTTTTTGGTGAGTTCATCACATGGCGTACATTACCCGAATGAGCCGAATTATCCTATTATTTTACACCAGTTATTTTTATTTTGGCGTTCAAATTATTCAATTTAGTATGATTTCAACGCCAAAATAAAAATAACTGGTGTAGAATAATAACATAATTCGGCTCGTTCGGGTAATGTACGCCATGTGATGAACTCACCAAATGTGAAACGAGTTTACATCGGATGATCCGAGGATCCTGTGCGATCCTAGGATTTCATCGGTTCGGATCGGATTGTCTGATCCTCGGATCCTCTATCCGATCCGTGTGAAAATCCGATCCTATCCGAGTTTTTACGATCCTAGGATAGGATCGGTTACGGATTACCATCACTAATCTGAGAGTATAATTATGAAAGAAATTTCAAAATCCGAGTAAAATTGGATTTTTGGCGTGATTTTGAATGAGTGAAAGCTAGAGTGAAAGCGATTTTTAGGCACCTTTGAGTTGGTGTGGTGGCAGCGAAAATGTGGCCATGGCATTAAACCACTTCAGGGTCCTTGTTCATTCATGGGACACTACAACATATCTAAAGGGCATCGTAATCTGGGAGTTGATAGTATGCAACCTCCCATCCTAAGCCTTTCTACACTCTTAGAAAAATGGTATTGAAGCATAACCAAACGAAGTGCATATGAATATGACTTAACCGGAGCGGTGATAACGGGCAACACCGCATAGTGAAAAATCTACATCGTTGTGGTGATGAAAACTCACCACTTGGAATCAAACTATTACCAACCCGGGGAGAAATTATCACCAAATCAATACTATCACGGAGTGTACATATGTATGACTTCACCATTTTGCTAAGAGTGTAAGTAATGACAGCACAACGGATTGGGCATGAATAATGTACATAATGTGCGCATATGTATGTCTTTGTTGATAATTATACAGTACAATTATTAACAGACTTATATAGCTATTAAGTATAATAATTACTTAATTATGATCCTCATAATGTGGATGCAAAGAAGCTATCAATACTGATAGACATGGATTAAATTGCGCCATTTAACAGGCATGGATTTGTAAACCTTTAATTCGTTACTTGAACTTAAGACTCAAACTTAAATTTTGAATATTTAATTAATTATAATTCTCCTGCTTATTCAACCCCTACCATTTGCGAGCTAAAAAATCGAAAAAAACCAAATATAACACTGCGTCGTCACACCAAACTCAACTAGAGATCTGCGAACATTTCTCGATGTATGTAACATTAGTTATTAAAACGAATTAAAATTAAAGGATGCAAGACGTAAAATTTGCAATTAAATTATAATCCAAATTGAAATATATACCTCGAATCAGAAGATTTCCCTCCGTATTACCTATACATGAAATGTTGGCCAACGATATCAATTTCGTGAAAAGCTACCTTAAACTAGGCGCCTATTTTGGCTGTTTACCCGTCAAATGGGACACGCAAAGTAGGAGAATTGTGGCATCTAGAAGGGCTCAGAGAATTACCCTTTTGTCCTACATTTTTCACTCCTGTATCCTAGCTTGCCGGGTATTTTCCACAATTACACTCAGCTCATCTGAATTACTGGATCAAGGACAAGCCTGCCTTGGCGTCGTGGCATATCTGACAACCATTCCGATACGGTTTGACGTTCCAATCGATCATGGGAACATTCAGCTGGCAAACTTCCTGCTGCAACAAAACATTGGTAAGTAAATGTCACAATTTAAGGAATAAAAGTGCGACAATTCACGCAGTCCTTGAATCAAGGACCTTGACGACCTTAATTCACGCCAACCTTAGTAAGTCCGTAAACTTATGAAAACGCGAAGGCTATTTGCTTACGAGTTTACAAAACCTTGCGAAGATAAATGGCTTCTTTATGGTTTTCAAGCTTAACTTCGTAAGTTTACGCACTCTAAATAAAAATGAGTAAAATTTACTCCAGGTTGGGTAACAAAAAGAGGATGACACAACCAAAAAGTAAAATTTATCCAACCTTGTCCAAAGTTGTGTAAATTTTGCACAACGTTAGAGAAACTTTCCATCTGTTTTTGTCATCTTTTTTTACCAAACCTGGAGTAAATTTTACTCATTTTTATTTAGAGTGCGTGATTACGGACTTACCACTATTGACGTGAATTGCCCAGAGTTCGGCGGATATCATGGATATTGGAGGTTGGATGGCGAGATTTTTTCATGAATATAGATACGGACCCGGATATTTGGAGGTTTTCACCCCATTTCCGCCAAGCTCTAGAATTGCCTAATTGCAAAATTAAATTAAACCTTAAATTCTATAAGCTTACAAACTTTTGCAAAATTTTAAAAATATTTTCTAGTTAGCTACAAAATTTTTGTAAACTTAGGACTTATTTAGTCAGATCAAAGGGATCTTTTATTTTGTAAAAGTTACTAAAATTATTTTACAAAACTATAGATTGTACAAGGCTGCCTGAGATGCCTTATTTTTTAAATACAAAATTATCGATCGGTTTTCTAGGTTCCCAAAAAGTGAAGTTTTGCATCAAACTTTTTTGCATTGCTCTTGCCGTCACGGGTCCCTTAATTTCGTCGGCGCTCGGAATTCTCACCATATTCGCGCCATGTCAGCCTATTAAGCAGTCTGTTTTGTGGAAACTTTCTAAGTGGAAATTCGCACTGCTTAATCCTCCTGTTTTGTGCAAGTTGAATTTGTAGCATTTGAGCAAGTCATGATTTCACTAACTTATTACTTAGCAACCGTATCATTGCGAGGTATTGCATTCTTGTGGACGTCGTGCAACGCCTTGGTAGCCAGTGATATGATGAAGCGTAAAATGACATTGTTTCTGAACTACAGAGAATTACAAGTTTACGACAAAGTGTTAAATTGTTGCACTAAATCGAGAATATTACTCGTTACAGCTCTTGTATCTCCAATGGTGGAAATTTTGCTTGGGTTCACGTGCATTAAATTACTGCATGCGGAAAATGTGGGAAAGTTTGAGGCATCTTGTTCCTCTGGGATTTTATTTTGGTGGTAATTTTCACCCTGTTTTTGTTTTCTGCGGCTGCACAAGCCCATAATTTAAGTACAAGGTGGCTTTCAAGGTTTAAGAGGAGATGTCGCAACAAGGTGGAGAGGAGGATGTACAAAACCTTAAGGTCGTTAAGGTTGGAATTTGGGAATAATTTTGTTGAAGCGATAACGCCCATGGTGGTGCAGGAATTCTGTGTGAGGCAAACCGTCTCCTTTCTTCTGATTGCACGGAAGGGTAATTAATTAATTAATTGTATGTATGAGTTTATTACAATCCTTTTGAGGCTGCTTACGGCCCCATGAAGGTACAATTATATACGAGCGTATAAATTAACTTGTGTATGGGTAAAATTTGAAGTAGGTGTCCAGTGTAAAATGATGACAAATAAAGAAGTAGTTAATAATAGTTTTTACAAAAGTTTTTGCCGTATGGCTAAGTATATACATAAGTTTAATCTTGCTTGTGTGCCCAGTTGGTATGATAGTTTAGTGGGTGAATGTGGATAGGATAGGTGGAGAGATGGAAGGCGAGTTTAGGATGTAGGATGATCCGACGGGTGGGGGTTAAGGCAGGCTGAGATGTAGGGCATTGCGTGGGGTTGTTATCGTAGTGGGCTGCATTGGTGGGGTCGCGGTTGCTGTTGGGGGGGCAGGGGTGGTGGCTGGCGTCAATAGTCTTCGATGCCTCTGTGGCTGCGGCGTTTGGGCACGGGCATGCGGCGGACCTGGACCACACCGATGGAGACGAGGATAAGCATGACCAGGAGAAGGGCGACAAGACAGGTTGTTTGTGTGATATTGAATTTTTCGATGCTTTTCTGAACCTGGACTTGGTGCTCTCCCTGTTGGGTGAGCAATTTGTGGTTCTCGCGTTCCAGGTAGGCGTTCGGTACGGAGTACTGGGGGATGAATTATGTACGTTGGAATAGTCGAACCCATTAATTAATTAATTGTGTAATTATATGTCTATTTATTTATACAATGAATGTATGTATGTACATACGATTATTTGAGGAAGGTATGAACTCAATTTATTTAAGACGTATTTATGTTTACGTAATAATTAGTTAATGTTTATGTAATTTACGAAAGTTAAAAATTATGTATGTATATATTTCATTGGTTCAAAGTGTAAAATAAAAAAAGTTTAAAGTTTTTGTTCACTCTTAGAAGCTCAGTATTTTACGGTGTTATGTACAATACGGTATTCATGCATGTATATACGACTGTACCAATCATAGTTGATAAGTAATGCAGGAGCTCGATATAAGGTTTATCAATTTATCATTTGTAAGGTTTTCGGTTAAATGGAAAACTGGTTTTACAAAATCGAAAAAACCGATTTTGAATGCACTAGTGTCGGGATAGCGTATTGTAGTTTTTCCGTATTAAACAAAGTATGAAGGAAAATATGTATCTACATATGACATAATATGTCATATATGTATGCATATTATGCATTTATGTAAATACTTACGTACTCAAGTACATCTTCCAAAATGCAGTGTGTAAATAATTCTCAATCGGGAATTTAAAAAAAAATGTTCGTGAAAAATCGATCGTGATTAGAAAATTTGTCCACAAAATCGATAATTATGTACATATATCGCACGGGAATTTATAATTACACAATCGGAAAATTTTAGTTTTTATCAGATCTGCAGCATATAAATATGTACGTTCGTTTGAACGTACATATATACGTACATACATTCATATTGTATTTATGTAATTGGAGTTGAGGGTTATCCCAAGATGAAAAATTTACTGGGGTAAAAAATGATGGATGCCTTTGATACAAGTTACAATATTGGTAAAGTTTACCCAGTGATGTCAACAAAAGTGAGTGGGCTCGCTCTGACACTTATACGTAAGTATATTGGTACGTATATTGACAGCCGGTTGGTATTGAGCTGCGTAAATGACTGTAACCTTGGGTATTTATTTAATAGATATCCGTGATGTTGAAATATTTCAGGTTTTTCATGCACCAAGGGAAATTTATGTATGTCGCTTATCGGTTCAACTTCCCAACCCTCTTTACATAAATTTGGGCGGGATTGCCACACCTCAAATTACCAATGCTTATCACAATCCTTGGCAGAGTATAAAATCGGACCATTTTGTATCAAACTTTATCATTCTAGCTCGAATCAGCATCCCAACTTCATCATGAAATCAATCATCTTCCTCGGAGTCGTCGCCTTGGCTTCGGGTAAGCTTTGGATAATATCTTATTTCGAAAATATTTTGAAAACATTAAAATTTCAGCCATGCCCAAATTGGACACCGCCCTTTTCCAAGGAACCGACCCTCGCCTCATCGTCGGGGGCGTGGAAGCTACAAAGAACGAGTTTCCCTGGATGATCGACCTGCGAGTTGGTGGTCACATTTGCGGGGGGTCGATCGTTTCCCCAGATTGGGTCGTTACTGCGGCTCACTGTGTAGGCGGGTCCCCCAGCAGTTACACCCTGGTCGCAGGGGATCACAACCTGACCCTTAACGAGGGGACGGAACAGAGTCGTGGTGTCACTGCCATCGTGATCCACCCAGGATACAACAGGTATTTACACTCTTATCGTTACAAATCCGGTATTAAAACAATACAAAGCGGTATTCATGTACAAATGATTCTGCCAAAGGGGTAATGCAGCGGAGTTATAGCTCAGTTTTAAAATTTTACCATGTCGGTAGCAAATTTTTACAGACGGGAAAAATTTTAATACAGAGCTATCAAAATCTGCCAGACTATGCGAGGGGAAGCAACGATGACAATTTTATAGAAACTAATCCTGAAAATTATGGAAATTTATGCTAACTGTTTATCTACATATTTGCTCGACTACTCATTTCTTCTATATTTAGACCCACTATTATTAACAACGATATCGCCCTCATGCGAGTCGACCGTCCCTTCGAATTCAACGAGTTTGTCGGTCCAGCGATCATCCCACAGCTTAACTTCGCCCCGACAGGTATATAAAAAATAGATATAAAAAACAAAAATATCCGAATATGATTTTTTTCGTAATTTCAGACTTGGCCACCGTGGCGGGATGGGGCATGCTCTCTTTCCCGATCGGTGACCTTCCCGATGTCCTCATGAAGGTTGAAGTGCCCTACGTGGCAGACGAGCCCTGTCGAATCGCCAACATTGGAGTTGGTGTCGTCACAGAGAGCATGGTCTGCTACGGGGTTGTAGGAAAGGATTCTTGCAAAGCTGGTGGGTCAATTTAGATATTTAGCAAATTGTCGAAAATTTTGGTCAATTTTAGTGGCAATTTTTTACGAAAAAAAAATTAAATCGTGCCCAAATTTGTATTTTATTTACTAGATTCCGGCGGTCCATTGATGTGCGGACCGGACAATGCGCTGTGTGGGATCGTTTCTTGGGGCAAGGATTGTGCCCTGGACGGATATCCGGGAGTGTAAGGAGAGAAATAATTTTATATTTTTTTTAGCATTTTCATGATTTTCTTGAAAATTTCTTTAGTTACACGGAAACATCCTACTTCGCTGAATGGATCAGGTCAACCATCGCTGCATAATAAACCTAATAAAATCATAAACGATATGCACACTTTTTGGAAACAAACCCCATTTTACGCAACTATGTAAATGCAATTATTAATTGATAATTAAACACAATAAAAAATTATTTTCCCCTGTAAACAACTTTTTTACTTTAAATATTTTATACTTTACTCCGATCTGCCCTGGGTATTAATGTATGTATAAAGTGTAAATTAAATTTGTACAACCCTCCGTGTAACACGAAAGGCAGAAACATGCAAACTTTTGCATAGGCAATTTAATACGTTAAATACAAATAGGCATTAATCCAACTATTGCATGGAACAAATTACCTACCGAATTAAAAGAATCGCATAATTTTAATGTATTCAAAACAAAATTGAAGAATTCGTTTCTAAACTATGACATTGCATTCCTCTCTACTCTATTATAATTGCAGATTGTATAACGTTTGCTATCAAAATCTACTCGCTAGCTTTGGCATAAATTACAATTACTACATTTTTTATAAGTATGTACATACGAATATGACAAACATTGTTCTAATTTTATTACTAGTTATGTTACCGTCAAGCGTAACAAGATTTTGTTTTAAATCAAGCTTGATGTGAATAAATAAATAAATAAATAAATAAAATGTATATATATATGTATTACGCAAGGTGCATGCATGCCGGTAAGTTACAGGGTGTGTATGACTGCTAGAAACCCTGGCAAGAATTTTCAACGCGCGGTGTTTCCTGCGCGACAACATACCAATACGACAAATGTTCATATGGACGCTCTTGTGTCATTGTGGACAGTGGATTGTGTACAGGTTCGATAAAATTAACCCTTAAATTTAAGTGTTGCCTCACATACATAAAATTAATTAATTCAACAAAGTAAAAATGCTGATTCTCAATGGCTACACATATATCCAGAGAATTAACAGCAATAATGCAAATTCCCAAATATATGAATATTTACTTCACACCAATTCTGTCATATACCTTCCTAATATCTCCTTTAATATCGTCCCTTATGTCACCAGAATTTAAAAATTTATCCAATAGTTCCTTAATATGATCCCACTTGTCAATATTTAGCTCCGTCTTACTTTCTCCTTTGTAAGGAATAATGAACAATAATTTGATTGCAAGTTCCACCCTACTTTCATCCACTTTATCGTCCCCACTAATTTCCAACCCATTCAACACATATTCCGACCACCAACCCGCCCAAGTACTCTCGTTGTCCTTAATTGTATCCTTAAACCGATCAATCAGTGTGGCATGAAGATCAAATAAATCCGCGTATCCACTCACATAAGCCTCCCCCTTATCCTTAATCCTTGTAAATATTTCCTTTATCGTATCAAAAAGTGCGATACCTTTAATATCTCTGAAATACATGGTGATGTAGGTCAAATCTTTACCATTTAATTCCTCCTTGGAATAGAAAATGTACAGCAGCAATTCCCCAGAGAAAGGAAAATACTCTTTTTTAAATAAAAGCGACATAATTACATTTTTTCTCTGGTCTCCAATCGTTTTAGCTTTTTTGTCAAGGATATTTTGATTATACTTGGACAGAATTTCTCGACCTATTACTCCTGTGATTAGCCACGCGCCTTGCAAACCTGTAACCGCCATGACAACATTTAAGTTATCGGAGGCCACTGATAACAAGAGTGACGCCCCGACTTGTATGTCCAAATCGATATTGCGACCAATACTGGATAAAAAGATTCCTTTTGAGTCAATGGCGTCACTTGTAATGGCCACATCCCAATCAACAGTGTCCTTAGGAAATTTAAATTTATCTAAGGCAGCGCTAAGAAACTGAATTAAGCCCTCCCCTTCTTCCTCAGACCGAGGGAAGTCAGGAAAAGTGAGCAGGTTGTAAAGACCTTTAAAAGTGTCAACACTTAATGGATACCCAATTAATACATAGTTTTTCAACATTAACATGAAGTCTGTACTGAAATCTTTCTCTGGTAGAGATTTTCCATTGTTGGTACTTTTGTTGAAGAAATTTATGCAAAAATCTCCCACCAGCGCGACAAGCTCGGGAGGATTTTGACTAAAATTTGCGGAATTTTTACCACAAGTGGTTAGAACTTTTAGGCAGTTATTGGTCTGTTCAGAGGAAAGGGCTCTTTTGTCGGAAGGGGTGTCTAGGTCTTTTTCAATAATGGTAATAAGAGAGGATAAGATTTCCTTGGTAATTGCTAACTTTCCATCCGTCCCTTTTATGTCTAAGACTTTTAGAAGATTTGCATATACCGAATTGTCATAAGGAAACTGAGATTTTATAAATATTGAGAAAATTATGGAGGTTTGGTCAGCATCAGGGTTTGATTCAGGTGGATGCAAAAATAATGATGAGGTGGACGCGATGTAGATTGGATCCGTAGAATTATTCAGGATGTCGAGACAATATTGGTAAATTGGTAACTGGGATAACACGGATGTTGAAGAATCCACTTGTTGAAGATTGGACATGAATTGGATACATTCGACGGGTAAGGGCGTCTTCACGGTGAAAATTTTAAGCTCCAAGGTTTTCGAGATGAGTAGAACAATCTGTAAAAAATATACAATATTAAATAGGGTCGCATTTAATGGCGACCCTAAGTGACTGAATGGGATACCCTAAGAACTAAACCCTATGGTGGACTGAATGGCCTACCCTAACAGGTCGAAAAAAATAGCTAATAACTGAATCTCGACCCTAAGGTTCTGATAGTTAAAAATCGTTGATTTACATCATTTTTTAGGTAATTACATCTCGATTATCATTTATTAAGACCATTTCTCAGAATTGATTCTTAAATTAATAAAAAACTTCAACAACAAGGGCTCGCTTGCATTTCTTATGGCTCCCTGGTCCACGTTTTAACCCAACAGGTACATTTTTGCAAGTATCAGAGATATTAAAATCTCTGTAGATGTATGCTAGTCTGGTTAAATGCTCACAAACATGCTGGTTTTTAAATATTTGAAAATTACATAGAGAAATTAACTAATTTGATTCTTTTCCTTTTGTCTGTGCGTACGGATTACATACACTCCAAATAAAAATTTGTCCAAAGTTATGTATGTAAAATGTCCAACGGGTGGGTAAATTTTCCACAAAGTTGTTTTTTTAACCTTTGGTAGTGTCATCCTCTTTTTTACTCAACTTTGAGTAAATTGTATTTATTTTTATTTAGTGTGTATAATTTAGTTACCTAAATAAAATATTTTGGGAAATTAGGGTAAAGTTTAAGATAAATAAGGATGGTTATTGGCAAGTTAGGGAAGGCCATTCAGTCCAACGTAGGGTTTAGTTCTTAGGGTATCCCATTCAGTCACTTAGGGTCACCATTAATATTTGCCCTATTAAATACCAAAGAAATGAGGATACACATGTACGTATGTAAATATGTAAACCTTCTCGTATTCCTGATATATATATATATATACATACATATGTATATGTACAGCGTAAAAGAAATACTTGCGAATTTCGTGTAAGTATGTATTCATGATTTTACAAAATTTTTGATAGAAAACAATTAAATTCTTTTGAAAAGTTTATAAAATTGGCAAATTCATTTTAAATTGGCAGGATTCTTTAGTATAGTTGGCTAACTAATTTGCAAACGTAAACTTGTTGGCGAACCTCTATAATTAAATCAAAATGTATTCAAATCATGTGGAATCCTCTGTTTACATAAAATATTACTTGTAAATAAAAGGTTCCTTATTCTCTACTAACGTTTCATGGAATTTGGTTATCTATCTGTAGAATTCAATGCATACAAAGATGTAACAAAATAATATACCTCATGTTTCTCTATCGGCTCAGCTTTCTCTTCATTTTGTAGAACCTGAAGTAAAAACTTTGTCACGGAATCCACATTATTTTGGGAAACCAACGTATATCTAAATATTTTTAGCAACACAGTTTTCTCCTCTTCACCATATTCTTTCCAGGTTTTCTCTTTCTCCAATAAAACTGCGCTGGTCTCACTAAGAAATTTTGGGTCGGATGGGATGGACTTTATTCGTTGCAAAAATGGCAAAGCAATTGTCCAGGATGCCGTTTCCTCCGGGAATTTCGCACTCTTTAATAAATCCAGAATTAAATCTTCCCTAATTTCTTCCTCCACTTGAATGGATTTTGACGCAATATTTATCCTATCATCGTGCCCGAATTGTCCCACTTTTTCTTTCCAATCCAAGGAAAGTTTTTGCGTTTCAGATTCCACATCCGCCCCGATTTTAGTTGTAATTAGGAGGAGATAATTAGTCATGCGAAACATGACAAATGTGTCGGCCCGTGTCTGCACAAATTTTATTAAATAATGCAGTCCAGATTTTAACGAACCGATTCCATCTTCTGGGGAAAATGCGTCGTAAAATTTGTCCGGATTGGACAACGCTGTCTTAATTTGACTGATTAGAACTAGGCCACCTTCTTCTTCTTCGACAAAAGTTGTAAGGAACGTGTCCAGTCCATAGAGATAAAAATCCATTTTTGTATCAGTTAAGAGGATGGTGAGTATTGAATATTTTCAGGATATTGTAAGCTTGTATTAAATTTTTTGATAGAACTTTTACACTGGACACTTTACTAACTAAAAATTATGATTTTTTAGCCGAAATAAAGATCAATACATATGTACTTGTCCTTCACCTTGCCAAATTAAATTCACCATTTAAATAAAATGATTAAATTATACATAGTTAATATTAGCTTGACTGGATTTGTATGTAAGATGAAATTTTGCAGACTTTTAGTTATTATTTGTTATCGGAAATATCGCTATTCCCAGTTCAGGGATTTGAGAAAATATTTTATAGAAAAAAGGCTTTTTACACGAAAGAGTGGAAGAGATTAGACTAGATAAAGTGTTCCTTCCAACGAATGTGTAAAGGATGGAATTTTTATTGCACAGAGTCTGTGGAGAATGTGTAAGTGTGAAATTCTATCTTTAGAGTAGGAAATAGATAAGTAAACGGTTAGGAAGGGGTGCATTCGGTAGTATGTACATACGAATACGGGATCAGTATACTGCTGACACTGATACATTTAGCGTGTTTTGCATGCATTTCCTTATTTCACTCATGAAATTCCGTTCCAGCTACTTGATACATGCATGACTAGAGTCAAGTGTTGTAAACAAGTAGCATGTCCTAATCGATGGATATGTTGTGTTCCATTTTGCCATGTACATACATATGATATCAAGGCATTTGTGAAATAAGAAGCAAGGATTCATTTACCAAGGTTCTTTCATTATTAAGTAGCGGAAGCTGCTTAGTGTAATCATTTTGTCCGTCCGTCTGTCCGTCAGCAGGATATCTCCAGAACGAGTCAAAATAATCAAAGGCGGTTTTCGCCATTGTACTTCTAATTTTTAGTTCTCGGTAGATTTCGAAAATTGGCTCAGTCGGACCCCACCCCACAGTGCGAGGGGTGTGGCCAAAATTAAGTTTAACTTTAATTTTCATATGGGGTGTAATTTTGAAGGAAATTTGACCGCGATTTCAATGAGGGTAATATTTTAGACCTCATGACCTTGAAGACGAGGTCAAAGGTCAACAAAATACATAAGTGTCATATGGGGGGTCGTTCTGACCCTACTTTTTTATATTCGTTTGTAAGGATTTATTTTTTTTAATAAAACGCGAGTTCTATTCAGGGTTGCAGAAATCTCATCTCACCCTCGTAAATCTCATCTCACTGAGATATAATGAGAAATAGTGAGACATGAGAAATATGAGATTTAGTGAGATTTATTAGCCATGCACTAGCGCCACCTAGCGGACGGGGTCATGAACTACAAGTTTATCTCATTATTTCTCATATTTCTCACTCAGCCCCAAGTGAGATAAATGATATATATCATTAAATCTCACTAAATCTCACTCAGTGATATATATCACTTGTAACCCTGGTTCTATTACTGTTCTATTACAGTAAACTGTTCTGTTCTTTGTAACTTTGTGTGGGTGCGGTATGTTCAAACCTCGGCTAGTACCATACTCGAATTCCGTATTAAAGTTTAATTATCATACGTATGAAGATTTATGGCATACGCTAAAATATCGGTTTATGACGATCTAGGCAGTGTTTCGGCAGTGGCGGAACTATAGATTGGGGGCCGGTACGTGAGCTAGATTTGGGGGCCTATCTAAATTTGTCTTTATCAATACAAATGTACATATCCATGTAAGTATGTGCCTGTCAATATTTTTATCCAGTTCAATGAAGAATTGACATTCTCTCCTTCATGCAATGTTGAGTCGGATTTAGTTTTCCTTATCAAAATATAAATGACAGTAGGAAATGCCATATTTTAAATTAACAAGTACGCATTTCAATAGTTTTGAGATATTCTGATTTGAGCGGTTTTTCGAAAACCCGGCTTTTAATTGTTTTTCAGGTTTCGACAAAACCGATTTGTGATAAATCAGATTCTCTAAAACCGGTTTTCGATTATTCTCAAAAACGGCTGTAAACCGATTTTTAATTTGGAACCTATTGTTGTGCTAACTTTTAAAAAGTTTGCAAATATATTTAGTAAAGTATACCTTAAAAGGCTAAAACCATTTGTTTCACAAGACCGCAATTCGAGTGTATTAAGCTGCTCTTAACCTCTTCCGTACGGCGTTTATTATCCCTAACTTCCCCCAAAGACGACAAAGATACTCATTGGCGTTACGAAGGGGGCGCCAGTGATAATTACCAATCACTTATCCGAGGCGAAATTAAAAATACGAATAATTCCTTGGAGACGATAAAAATTGATTTTAGATTTTGGAACAATTGTTAGCGGGAGTCATAACTTATGTACCCGTGATATACGCCCGTCCGTCGGTCAGTCTTTCCAAAGACTTGAGATAACCAACGAGTGGTAGAAGGTTGAGATTTGTGACATTCGTCATATTTGCGTACTTAACTAAAAATATATTGTCAACGGCCTAATTATTCTTAGGGGAAACCCGATAGGGTGACCCCCACTGGTTTTCGAAAACGGTCATAGAAGGCTAAAACTTGGCACGAAGGTGAACAGGTATATCAGATTTATGAATATGAAATAAATTTCAAGAAAATTCTGTGAATTTATGTATACCTAAAAGGATGACTTGTATTACTTTTTTAAGTTGATCAAAAAAGCTGAAATTTTTCATACTAGGGAATGACTGATATGGTAGCTAAAAAATGTGTAGCCTCCAGCTGAAAGTAACAACTTTTAAAACCCGTATGGGTCACTCTGGTTACACTTTCCTAACTTTTAACTTCACACCTTTTGATAAGGAACCATTAAGCATCACCATGCAGAATTTCAGCTTTTGAAGACGATTTCTGAAAATCAATATGGGTCACATAAAAATTTTGCGAATTTCACCCATTAGGAGCCATTTGCAACCTCAGATTTCAGTTCCGAGAGCCGTATGAGACGGCCCCCGTCCCCGGCGCCCGACCCTCCGAGGGCCGGGGGCCGTCGCCTGGCCGGGGCCGATACGTGGGACGTACCCTGCGTACCCCTATTTCCGCCAGTGTGTTTCGGGTGCAAGTAACCACCTAATAACCGCAAGAAAATTGTTTCTTGTAGTTATTTTTACCCGCAAGAAATGCAAGGTGCAAGAAACTCCTTCCCGCCGTTGTAGTTCATAGGGCGCATCGTTAGAGGGCTCTGTGTTTCTTGCATTTCTTGCTTTGAAGTGCAATAAATGAATTATGATCCATATTCTCTTAAGTGGAACCGCGCTCAATGACCTGTGCATTTCGACCTGGTTAGTGGACATTTATAAAGTCTGTCGTAAATTGTAGGCAGGAACCAGACATCTCAGTTTTTGTTTAGAACGATTTGTCTTTCTTCATTCTTGGCCACCAGTACGACTTTCCGCAATAACCCTCTAATTTGCGATTTTCACTCGAAATCTGAAATGTACTTGCTGATTTTTCGCCATTAACGTTCGAATTTTTCTATCACTTTCGCGTTGAAACAAAGATCAGAGTACCTTCTATTCCACACGGTCGAAAACTTGTCACTTTCTCCCAAATAAAGGACATTTAGGGGGTTTACTGTTTTAGGGGTATCTTTCTAAATGTTAACCGTGGCATGACCAATTAGGAATTTTACAGGGAGTTCTTATGCACACGTTTTGTTGATAATCTACATTGTGAGGGCTGCCTGCGTGAAAAAATGTGTTTTCCGAAGTCTTTAAGGGATCAGGGTCGACGTCGGTCTCGTCATAAATGATGATAATTTTTAATGAAATTTGAAGGCAAAATTTTTTGCAACATTTTTCGAAGATGATTTTTCGGTCTTTAACGTACTTTGCAAGAATTTGTTTGATTTTTTCTGTAATCCCCAGTTTATGAACTTCAAAGCTGCACAACAAACTTTTTGAAATTTTCAGTTCCAGGGCATTCACAGGACTTTACCCCGAACGATTGGTAGTGAAGAGTTTTTTGACGGCGTCAACACTTTTTTGGGTGGCTGTGACGAGTGGTGGCCTCGAATGTTTTTTGAATTTCGCTTTTTGTCACCTAATACTTCGAAATATAAACATAGATTTTTGTTTTGTGACATACTTCCGGTTTGAAGGGTTACGACGTCATGGTTGCGTCACGTTAGGCGAGGTTTATTTAGTTTTGAAAAACCCGATTCTCAAGTTTTTTATTTTCAGCCCTATTTCTATCGAATTTTGCTTTAGAAAAAAATGCTTTATACCCCTGGAAGTCCTTGAAGTTGCGTCTCAGAAAATAATAATGCTGAATTTCAGTCTCAACGAACTGCGCATTATACTTTAAAATAGCGCAGTTCCACTTAAGAGAATATGGATCATATTTATGATTGATTTGAAAATTTTGTCATAAAACCGTATAAATTTGAAAATACTGGTTTAACTTAAATGAGCCTTACGATCTTTTTAACTATTAAAATAGAATACTAATGTGATATTAGATTTTTAAATCATAACATTTTATTTATTAAGCAAATCCATGGCCATGAATTTGCCTATATTTTAGTTGGTCATTAAAATGTGTCCCTCTTACTACTTTATTGCTCAATTTGATTGTCAACATGCGAAACCCTCGTCACCGGACAAATTCGTAAATCTGCTTTTAAAACTTTTCACACCAATATTTGCACAAATGTTGTTCATACTTTGTCTATACATTTATATGTAAAATTCTTAATATGGTGCGATACCTAGTCGTACATTATGTACGGTATATATGTAAAACTTTCTACTATTGCAATATATTGTTGGGAAACCGTATTCTAACTTTTCGTACCTCTAACGTAAAGAGAGTGAGCGTTAATGCATCCCCAAGCTACGCGTCGTGTTAATGTCGATTTTTTCCAGGAAGCTCCAGAAATAGTTGTCTTTTCTTAGATTTTATAAGTATTCCCTTGATTTTTCTCTAAATCCTTGCCAGTCTTGTATTGACTTCGTCTTTGTGCATTCTTCGTACCAGATCAAGCGTTCATTTCATTAAGTTCTACAATCCCACTGCTTAAATACCAAATAACCGGTAAGGCTTTTTGGTTATACGCAAATTTTTTCGCAGTATGAATATAATAATTTGCAACCTGATTACGATGAAAGGGTTATTTAATACCTAATATCTATTTAATACCCCAATTTATTTATATTTTGCGTACTCACGACAATGTCTTATTTCGCATCGCAACTCATTTAGCAAACTTGCGAAGATCAAAATATTTCTGTCGTGAGGGGATTCGCAAAGTATGACTTCGCCAATCTCGCAAATCTCACAAATCTAGGAAAACACCTATTTTGATGTTGTTTCCATGGATTTTTGTAGTTTCATTAGCTGGTGTTGGCGAGGATGAATTTGCCAAGTAATTTTGCGAAATAAGAACATGCCCAATTGCTGGGTAAATTTTCGAAAAGAAAATCCCATGGTTTTCCAGAAAAATTTTATAAAATCTCGCATATCTCGCAAAATTTGGCAAGTTATGTTGCTATGCTCAATTTCTGAGATATGCGAAATTTGACGTGAGTACGATAAATATAAATATTTGCCGGTTATTTTCCAGCATTAGCGTATTAATTTCGCAATTAAATTTGATGTTTTAAAAAGAGTTGCAATAATTTTAATTTAATGAAAATATCTTACGTGCATATCCATATTTTTGATATCAGCAGCAGACGGCGGATATGTTTGTACGGTTGTAGGTCGAATTGCATAATTTTTTAGGGATAATGCAATATGGTATAATTTTTTTTGGCATAAAACAAATTGGTATAAGGGTATATAAGGGATAATTAAAAAGGGATAATTATACGAAAATCAAAATTAAATTTCAAATTAAATTTTAAAGTCATTTACTTGTGAAGGTATTTTCCAATACCCTTGAGATAGTCGAAAGTGTCAAGATTGTACTTATGATTCTACAATCAAGAGGAGTCGCTTATCCAGGTCCCTGTGGCTGGCTCGACTTGCCCAGACTTCAATTTTTAGATTTCCAAACTCCAATGGCTTTGTTCATTTAGTAAAATTTCAATGGCTTTCTATATAGTATTTATGCGTAAATGCTAACCCTCCATGGCATTGTTGATACGAGGGACTTTCCCGTGGTAGCGTTTACAGTGGACATGGTTGTGAATGTGACTGTGGAGTGAAATTCGAATGAATGTAGAATTCAAGGAAAGAAGGAATGGGACGAATTTTGGTCCCTTTAAAGATTAAAATATAATTATCCCTAATAGAATTATCCCTCAGCTTCATTATACCAAATGGTTCCCTTAAATTATACCAACAATATTATACCAAATCAAATTATACCAAATTGTCGTTATACCAAAAAAAAATTATGCAATTCGATCGCATATTTATAACTTTCCCATACCAAATCAGATGGAACTAAAACTTCATATACTGACATCCCATCTAAGCACGATCGCAAAAATTCAAACATAGTTTTCTATATTTTACATATTTTAGTATATATGTCGAAGTCTTTTATGTTAAAATATTTTTCTTCATTCATAAATTAAGGTTTCATAAAAATTATATTTCATAAGTATACCCAGTCTATTCAGATAAAGTGTTACTGGTATAAACGCGTAGAACGCCTTCATTTTTGAGAATTTAAATTTCATTTATATTTCATTGGAAAGCCAGCTAAATTTTGAACAGAAAACATGTGTCACACTTGAAAATTTGATTCCCTTGTGCCGGTAAACTTTTGAAGATGCGAACGCCAAGCACCCACCGCGGCACGAATGAAATTTATTGAAAAATTGTCACATTCCCGGGTCAGAAATTTTTTTGTGACCCTGACGCATACATGGCGCTAAGAACAGACCTTTTCCTCGACTTTAATAGTTGGTGGTGAAATCCATTTCGGTTCGAAAATGCCAGGTCAAACCTAAAATGGAAATGAAGTCAGAAATATGGAATTCAATCCAGTTTTCCACGAATTTCGAGATATTTATTTCTGTGTAGCCCTGCGCAAATGGCGGCGGCTTTCCACCCAATATGGACTAGTTGAGGGGGTGTTCTCTCTTCACCAAGACGTTAACCAAATATATTTTTAAACTATTTCCTCTCCTTAATTGAGGAAATTGGGCGGTTTTTGCCCAATTCATCCGATTCCCGCCAAAACCATGAATTGACCCCCATAGGACGATATTTGGATCTCTATTTTCTAGTCAGTCAACCTTTAGAATGTGTAGCGTAAAGTTAGTTAGCTTTTGGTTGAGAAATTCTTCCGTAGTAAAGGAATTCTAATCGATATACCGATATTTTTGTTTCGTTTTTCTCCGTGCCGCTTGAGGAAGGAGTTCATTTTTTTAGCCCAGCGTCTTTCGGCGAATGAGTGGCCTTGTCTTACTTACTAAGCTTACAGGCCCCTCTGTGTGTGTCATTTTTCAGTGCTGATATGATTGCTAAAGTTGAAAGGTCATTTGTGAGGGCAAAGTCTTTTGTGTCGGACGGAGATTTTGTGTTATTCTGACGTTCAATGCTTTGGACATCACTGGAATCCTCCTTGACCTCGGAACACCGGAACTTCTATACCACAGATAGACACTGTCCCTAGGGATACTTTAATAGTTTGGGCAACCAGACGGTAGTTGTCTTTGGACTGCTACACTACATCTAACATTGCGATTTTTTTTCTCCCGTAAAAAGTAAAAAAATTATTGCCGCGCGCGTGTGTCAAACCTCCTCTATCTTTTGACATAGCGAAGCCAGGTAAAAGAGCTTAACATCAACTATAGCCACTGAATGGATTTACAAAATGTAACTTGCCTTTCAATTTTATCATACCGGGTTCAAAAGTACTTGGCGAGTAATTTACCGAGTACTTTATCTGAATAGACTAGGTAGTAAAAAATTCAAGTTGAAAAACGTTTTTTCAACTGTGTATTTTTTCAGGCTTTTTAGGCACATGTATTACATACATATTTTGCAGAATTTACGTACATACATATTCGCCCTCTGATCATTGGTCTCAGGCTTATATATCAACTTGGAATAATGAAGGATATTCTGAATGCAATTTTTATTGCGGACAAAACTCATGTTTTGAGATGCCAGGCAATTTGGCAGTGAGACTGAACTTATTTGGCAACTCGGATTTCATGATCAAGTCAGTGAATTTTACATGCATGTATGCCAGCCATCGTATGGTATTTTCAAAATTATGTGGGGGGACCTTGAGAGAAATTCGTGCATTTTGAGGCAGGCAAGATCAAGGGAATGTCTGCATGCATATTGACAAGGTACGTTAGGGATTCTATTTATAGTTCCGGACGGGGATTCAGACAAGGTTGATAAATCTGCATTAGTGTGAGATTCAATAGGATTTTTTTATCCTGAGCTTTAATATGAGGCTATTGTAGCCTGTTCATTTTCCATGGTGTATCGAGTAGAATAATATTATTGGGCTCAATACAATACTAACATTACAAAACAAGCATTCCTGACTTAAGGATGGGTTGTCAAAATGTAAATTAAGTTGCGCCAAATTAACACATCGATTTCCAATATAATCTCACAGACGACCGGTTTCGCATTTTATTTTGCATCTTCAGGTCTACATAGAATAGAGATTAAGAAAACTTATTATTACAAAAATATGGAAGATTATACAATTAAAATGTAAGAAATTAAAATTGATTAAAATTGATTTAGTGACACGGAAATAAGCTTCAATTTAATACTAATAATAAATATGTATATATCTATAATTACCTGTGTATGTACATAATATTGGTGGGTAATTACTTATCAAATTTATCCATTACCATACTATTTTACGATATGGAACTGTACCAAAAAATGAAAAGGTTTGTTTTACAAAAAATTTTTATATTCACATATCACTAAGAATGAAAATTATGTACAAATGTCCATACCTTAAATCACGATACAAAATTTAAATCACGATATAAAATTTAAAATATGACAGATTAAAATAGTAGGTCATATAGTTTAAAAATTTTATTTATACAAAATTTTATATCTGATAAACTTGGTGTGAGTTAAATATATTTTTATCGTTATTTGAGAAAAATCTCATACAACACTCCTACAAAACTTAAAATGATTCATACAATACTCCAAAAGTTTGACAGATGGCTGCTCTATGAAGGTTTAGACTTGTGTAATTCGTTATTAAATTTTTCCAATGAATGAGAGATAAAATAACTTAACATCAACTTCATATTATAATTAGTTTTGGTTTCTACTTCATACTTATGAATTTCACTATGTAAAAACTCAATAATTATTGATTTGTAATTAATGATATCATAGAAAGGAACAGTAATGAATATCTCATTTTGTTTGTAATTAGACTTATTTATGAGGTGATCAATAATTGGTTTTGACAAGTTATAATTGTTATATGTAATGTGATCTACAATCGATTTAGACTTTGGTATACGTAGTAAAAATGCATCTACATTCGATAATTTTATAAAAACGTTATTCAGTAATTTGTAGGGATACCCTCGATTACTAAAATCAGAGAGTAATTGTTTAATTTGTACTAATGCTATATTATTATCAGAATTGATTTTAAGAATTCGTAAACCGCACGAAAATGGTAAATTATTGAGCATATGCCTGGGATGGTGGGACTTATAATGTACAAATTGATGTTTGTTCATTGTTTTCTTATACAATGTTGTGAATATCTTATTCAGGGTATTCCGACCTGGGTTTTAATGGGTTGGGTTTTATTGGGTTTTAATGGGTTTTAATGGGTTGTAAATGAATAAAACCCACTGGGTTTTACCATGTTAAGTGGGTTTTATTTGGGTTTTAATGGGTTTTATTGGGTTTTAATTGAGTTTTACCTTAAAACTACATTCTAAAAGTTAAATACATCTCCTATACGTTAGAAGACGTTATCTCAATTCATTCTAAAGCAGTTTATTTCATTACTATTCTAATATATGAAAATTCGGAACAATTCAATAATTGACTCCATCCTTTAGCATCACAGATTTCAAGTGTTATAAAACAAAAATAATGTCCGAATAGATACAAATTCC